AAATCTTTATACTAATTAAGTGTGTATCTAAGTCCAAAAACATGTAATATAAGCTGAGGGCTGATATAATCTATTTTGATAGACCACATAATGTTTGATGGGGCTGCTTTATTCTATCCATTAAACCACTGGTATATTGCATGTATGATGAGTTTACTTTCTATAGGTGTTTCCATATCAGTACAAATATATATATATATAATCTCCTAAAGGACCTAAAGCTTCAGAGTTGATTTTTACAAGTACTGTAATTTTACCAGGCTGTAAATGTGATGCATTTTAATATAAATTTGGTTACTTATTTGGTACCCAGTAAGATGTTTTTTTTTTTGTTTTTTGTTTTTGCTACTGTTTAAGTTTTAATTTATTTATTTATGGGTTCATGATTGGTGTAAACTTTTTTCCTACCTATTTTTGAGTTGTACTTTTCAAAGTTTGAGGTTGCTGTGTGTCTGAGCTAGTTGACTCGTTAAACTGATTTAAAACAACAAGATCTTAAATAAATGGTTCAATAAAAGACTAAATAAAAAACATAAGATGTTGTATATTTAATGTGGAAAATACCTTAAAAGGGATAAAGTTTGTACAGCTGTAATCTTAAAACTAGACACATTACATCTCAATTGAAGAGGAGGAGGAGCCGGAAGACAGCAGTATGATGCAAATATGGACCAGGTTTTGTGCTAGTGGTAGGAAGAGGAAGCTGCTTTTTACCAAGCAGTGAATGCAAAAAATCATATCATGAAGGAAACAAGTCAACAACATCTCATAATGATGAGATACTATCTTATGAGATAGCTGAGTCAGGACTTAGCTATTTCCTAATAATGAGATAGTGTTTCAAAATAATGAGTTATGAGATAGTTACGTGATAATTATAATAGTGGCAGAAAAAGGCCCCCATACTTTTCCATGAAAGGTCGAATATTATGCTAAATTCACATCATAAACATTTAGTAACAGAGATATGTGTCATGAAGCCTGATCTTGGGATTGACATAATAAACCAAACCTTTTCACCTCTTTCATTGCCTTTCTCCAACTCTTAGCTAATGTGTGCTCAGAATGCTATGTTTGAAAAGCTTTACCCTTATGATGTCATAAGGGGAAAGCTGTGCAGAGCGGTTTTTAGCAGCCCATCGACCAAGCTACATCCTTCATCGTCGTTATAACTCCGTGCTCCTAGGGTATCTTTATAAACGTAGGTTGTAGGGGGCGGGTAGGAAAGTCAAAACAGCTTGTTTTGAACAGGGCTGAATGAATGAGGGGTTTTTGGTAAAGGCCATCTGCCTAACCTGTGAGGAATTTTACTGAGTGAATGAAAAAAACACACTGTTGATATTTTTGTATTTTCAAATATAGATTAATATGATACATTTGAAGAAAATATGACCAAAAAGAAAAACAGCTTTAGTTTATTTGAGTCTTTTAATGGGCCTCCAGCCTTTTCTTCAGAGAGGTTCAACATACTGGTCATTTACTGGTATATGACATGTTGTCATATGAATAATGGTCATTCAAAAAGGGCAAACAAACTTAAATTAAGATAAAAATGATCAAGTATAAAATAAAAGGCATATATGTAAAAAAACAGTTTTTTTACATTGGCCCCTTGATTGTATGTTATTACATCATGTTCTACTCACCCATATTAGTTTTGTGTCATTTGGAGCTGTTCTGATGATATTCCGTTATATCCTCGTAACGTCTTCCTGTGGGCAATGAGTTGAAGGCACAAACTAAACTGCTCATAATTTATTATTTATGGTACGCTAACAGTCATAACATTTAGGGGAATCACTGTCCCTCAGACATCCGTGATTATATTTTTTATATTTATACATTTTTTAAACAAAGCGGAGTGTGTATGACGTCATCCGCGCGCCGGACTGGAGTTGTGACAGGCAGCCCAGACCACAGGCGGCTACGCTCTACCCTTTCTATTAATTCGTCTAGCTAATCTGAATTGTTCAATTCCATTTCGAGAGCGAGATCATCTGTGGTAGTAGCACTAGACATCTTCCAGGCATGTGAGTAAAACTAGTAGCAGTTCGGCTGACAGGAAGAATGGGACAGTGATTCACCTACATATTATGAATGCTGGCGTACTATAAAGAATAAATTATGAACAATTTAGTTTTTGCCTTCAACTCGTTGCCCATAGGAAGACGCTACTTGGATATTACAAAACTGAATATCTTCAGAACAGCTCCAAATGACACAAAACGCATAAGGGTGAGTAGAACATGATGTAATAATGTAAAATCAAGGGCCCAATGTAAAAAAATCAGTGTTCCCCTTTAAGCATTTAGATTGTAGTTGTTTTAAAATAGCATAAAACTAATCCAATCTACTAAACAAGTAATGCTCAGAACTTCCCTGTTTCTTCAAACGGAGAACTACCATTTACTGGAGATAAGATCCTGACTACTCATAACAACCCCACAGAACCCTTCTTTACAAAGAAGCCACAGTTTAATTGCTGGAGGTTTCTTCCTGTTAAAAGGGAGTTGTTCCTCTCCACTGTCACTACAAGCATGCTTATTGTGAGGGATTGCATTGGAATCGATGCAATCAACTGGTTTTCCTTAGATGGAAAACTTTGAATCAGTTTGATCTGGTGAACTGTAAAGTGCGTTGAGATGACATGTGTTGTGAATTGGCGCTATAGAAATAAACTGAATTGAAGCTTACTGTAAACTTCTTAGCTCCACTTGCTGAGCCTTGGAAGCCCTAATAGGAACCCATATCACCCAGTGTCAGTGTGGTCCTTGACCCCCACACCACCTACAGCCCTCTGCTAAGATCTCATCCTCCAGCGAAGTTGCAGTGGCTGTGTGTTGGTATTTATGCCAGACTGCATGGTCACTGAAACCCCCTCCGCGGCGCAGATTATCGGACCAAACCAATGCAGCAGTTTGGGTTTGAGCACCTGTCACATGACGCTTAATATTTCCACGCCGCTGATTATCATCGGATTGAGTCAGCGCACTTGGACTCTCCGTGGATGTGCATGGGTAATACCCTCCGGCGATTGCTGTTAGAGTGCAGCTCTGGGTGAGAGAGGTTGCCAAATTGCATCGACACCCCTATTGTGCAACTGGCAGCATCACCCACTGCCTGCAATGGCGTTGGAGCGGCTTCAGTGTCTATAGCGGCGGTTCCGTCCTGGACTACTTGCATGAGAGGGACAGAAATGGTATTTTGGGAACATTTCCCAGCGAGAGAATCTATAATTTCCCTCACATTTAATCTCTGGATTACATTTCTTATCTGTAAGGCGTTTTTCGGAGCTCAGGGCGCACTGGATGTAAGTCTTTTGTTTTTCTTTGCAGTAGCAGTGGGTTTTTTTGTGGTTAACATTTAACTTCGTGTGCATGAAAACACAGAGAACAGTCGATGGCATGTGTTCCGGATGTTTTCAAGAGAGATTGCAAAGGAGATTGATGTAAATAAATGCAGGTTAAAGGGAGGAGGGGGGCTGAGCTGTCATGTTCTGCGCGGTGTTGCTGAGGTGCGCTTGTTTGTCTGAACATTTCTCCTCAGTTGTGTTATAATCTGCTTTTACACTCACTCTGTCATTTAAAATCAAGGCAATAAAGTTATTGAATAAGAATTTAACATAGGTGACCCATGAGAGTGCAGTGTGGTTATTAATAAATAGGACATTTAGATTTCAGCTTCTACACCTATACCATTCAGGCTGTGGGTTACAGAACAACTAATGGATTTTTCTTGTCCCTGTGCTCTTTTTTTGTTTTAGTATTTCCTGATGTTTCACCTCTTAGTGTGTGGTATGCATTTCCAAACCAGATTAAATATTAATGGCTGTAGATATGGAATATTTAGCTGCCTTAGTATTGCGGTTTATGTAAGCAAAGGACTGTTATTAAAAGTGTTTTATTCTTTAGTGGAGGTTGTATATTGAATAAGTGATGCATCACGTTTTATGAAAACATAAAGCAAAAAACATCCTAATGCATGTGATGGTTTGGAGAGGTGAAATGTTTCAGTTTCTGAAACCAACCAGTAGGGAGGAGTGCTATCAAAGTGAAGAAAAACTAAAACATGCATAGTTTTTTACTTTTTTAGATTGGATATATAGGAGGTTTATTCTATTTCTGTTTTTGAATGTTAAAAAGCATCACAGGGAGAGCCCCAAGGCAAGGGGCCACTTACAGGTCAAATCCAAGTAAGACTGCACAAAAGTGTCCATTTTATTTAATGTTCCCTTTTATCTCATACTACACTGCAAAAAATTATCTAAAAATAAGTAAAGATTTCTCAAATTAAGTGTTTCCCCTTAATTTGAGCAGGTAAATAAAATGATTTGCCAATAGAATGAGTAGTTTTGCTCTTAAAATACGATAATTCGACAATATGCACTTGAAATAAGACAATATTTTTTCTTACTTTAAATGCAAATTGTCTTGTTCCATTGGCAAAGTGTCTCATTACCACCTAAATTCAAGAAAAAATGCACTTATTTTTAGAAATAATGACTTATTTAGATTTCAATTTTTTGCAGTGTAGTGTTTAGAGTTTATATGACTGTTTTTGGCAAAGAATATCGGGATATACTCTCCCCCACATATTACTGGCCTTGTCATTCATCTGGCTAGTGGTACCGTGCTTTTTCACACTTGTTTGTCTGGCAGTCTTTCTGGTCAAAATAAAAATAACATTTTTCAGCAAATGATAACATAAATTATATTTTTGTAACCATCCAGTTTGCTATTTAATATACTTTTACCAAATGTGATCAGCATTATATTTATGATACATTGTTATGTCAATTTATCAGTACTTATTTGGCTTGAAAAGTGTCATTAGTAGGAATGAGTTGTAAACAGAAAGAACCAGTGCTTGCTTTACAGTACTATTCAGGTTCCTTAGACAGGATTCATCAGGATTCTCTGATGCTTTTACTGATGTGTCCTTTGAGCTCAGAATGGGGCAGTATAAAAACATTCTACTTATATCTCTTTTCATCTCTGCAGGTGTGACTAACTTTGAAGCACTGGAATAGGCCAAAATAGACTCTGGACTATGATGAGGTCACCGCAATGCTGACATTGCCTCTAAATCCAAAGACATCATCATGCTGAAGACGGAGGTTTCGGGGGAGAGAACCAGCCTCCGCAGTAACTCCCCCCACCGTAATGCCTACCGGGCTGAGTTTCAGGCTCTAAAGAGGGCCTTTGACCAGCCTCGGATTGATGGAGACTCGAAGCCCAAAGATCTTGAGCGGCTTAAACAACCTAGGGGTCGCCAGTATGGAGCTCATGTTAGTCGCATTAAGGACATGTTTATGCAGATGGGTTCAGAAAATACATCAAATAGAGCCAGGAGTAGGGATGAATCCTCACCGCAAAAGCTAGTGAAACCCACCAACTTCATAAACAAAACTGATGGATCAGTCATCAAACTTCAACATTCTTCATCTGCTGAAAGGATCGGGGGTGCAGGGGCAAAGTTTTCAGAGACAAGGAAACTATTTGAGCAGCAGTCACGTGACCAATCCCAATCACCAGTCTTTTCCTACGGACGGGATAAGAGGGGCTCTCATGAACATCTTGACGACTGGAGAGGAGCCAGGTCCAACAGAGGAAGCACAGACTCCCTGGACTCTTTGTGCTCTAGAACCGAGGCGTCATCACCAACCGTCAGTCAGCTCAGCGCTGTTTTTGAAAATGCAGACCAAAACAATCAGGGGGGATCCTATAGAGGAGTCAGTAGGAGAGCCCTCTACTCACCTGATGGATCCTACCGCCAAGGAGGTGATCTCAGCGAAGATGATTCCCGACAATCTCCGATACGTGGAAACTACCGGAACAAGATAGGGGGTAAGCTTCCTGTCTCTTCATCTGCTGAGGACCTCCTAAACCCCAGTCCTGGAGCCGATACATTTGAAGCCAAAAACGAATCTTCACAAGAGGAAGAAATCCAAGAAAAAATTAGTGAAACTTCTAGAAGAGACAGACAATATTTGTATAGTGCCACCACCAATGGAAGCCAAGTTAATGGTTCTTGCGAAGAAGAGGAAAATCCCTCAGACTCAATAACTGCCATTGAGGATCATAAAGTCACTAAACCCTCAAACTCTACTGATGGTGCTGTGATTACCAAAAAAGCTTATGAAGATGCTACGCAACACCCACTGCCCACCACAACCCTACAAACTGGTGAAAGCAAAGATGATGCATTTGCTTTAAAGCAGGGAACCTTTCCTGAGACACTAAAGGATCAAACAGAAGAACCTGAGGATGAATATACAGGAAATGAGCGGGTGATTTTTAATGCAGATGGCGACGCCTGCTACCAGGGTTGGGGGGAAAGCTGTACTGATCCCGATGATGACCTGTATGGCGATGATGAGGATATTGTATATGACCCTGGCTCTGATGTGACAGAGATCCCTGGTCTGCCGGAAGAGAACAAGGAGGACATCCCACATAAGAGGAAGATTCGCTTCAGCACTTCTCCCATTACAGTAAGCTGGACGTAAGCCTGTGCCTGCAGTTGGGTGAGGGGACGCTGGGGGGTTATCTGGTGCCTGGGCATGGATGGCTGACATGACGTACTTGGCCTGGGGGGTGGACTGGTTGGGATTGCCTCGCAGCCATGGGTATGAGAAACCCATACTGATGTTGGGCCCTGGAATGGCTGTGACTGGCTGGGGTGAAGTGGGTGAAGTGGGCTCTTTGGTGTATTGGCTACCTGCTCTGGCTTCTGTGGGACCTACCCTTTTGTTTTGGCCCTGGATCCAGGAGGATACCCTTTTATTTTGGCCCTGGATCCAGGAGGATAGTGTATGTATGAGGAGCGTAAGAATATGTTCCGTGTCTGCCCGTGTCTACATCTCCGTTGAGTACTTGTATGTCTGTATGGATGTAAGGGTGGGATTGTGCGAATGTGACTTGATGAATGTGAATTTTTCTAGTCTACTTGTCAGGTAGAGTGTTTGAGAGTCAGGCTCTGTGTGCTCTCGCCTACCCTTCTCTGGTGGGTGCGACCATCCCTATGTCTGCCCTCCTTGTGTCTCAGTGATCTTGGGCGCCTCAGATATCTGGGGCTGGCGCCTCCTCTTTATCCGTCCACGGCCTTGTAGTCTGGGGCCTTGTAGTCTGAGTCTGGGGCCGCCCAAACCTGCTATTAAGCATATTTTCCTTCTGAAGAAGCTTTGTAAATCCTTTATACATGAATATGTCTATGCGTACATACCACAGAATTTGATTCCAGGTGTTCACGGATACACAGTAATATCAATTACCAAGCTGCAGCTGCAGATATATACCTGCCTGAATAACATTGTGTAATCAGCATACTGTAGGTTTTGTCTTCCACACACGGATATCTAAGGCATGACTATTGCTCTTGAAGTTTTTTTTTTTTATGTTTACTTGTCTTTTGTCGTCTTTTTGCTGTTGCTATGTTCTCTTTTTTCTGTTCCTCTCGTCTCATACAGGTGTGGAAGCAGACTAGGAGTTACAGTATACTTTATGTTTTGTCTTTTTTTGCTGTTTTCTTTTCTCTGTTTTTATGCATGATTTCCTATCTCTACTGTATCTCTTTCTCTCTCCCCTTAGTTCTTACCCCTTCATTTCTCACCTTTTTTTTCCATCTCTGTGTCCATTGTGTACGATTTTACTCCATAAATCATTTTCAATAATGTTTCATATCTAAGTACCAAATGAAACCTTAGGGCAACAGTCAAAATGGTCTTCTTGTGAAAGCAAATCTGTTGGGCTATTATCTAGCTCAGGGAAATCTATTCCCTGAGCTACACTGGCAAAACAGGACATAGACACAAAAAAGAGCTGGATGAAGTACAAAAATATAACATTAGTGCAATCCAACAGCCTTGAACAAACCACAGACTAAAAAAAACTATAAACTAATAATGTATTAAGTTTATTTAATTTTAACTGTTATTTTTAGGTACAAACTGCACCACAAACAGTTATTGTAAGCTCTGTATTGTGGTCTTTTTAAAATATTTATTCTTCAATATCCTATTTGCTAATGCATTACCAGATAAAACATTGCTCTCGTAGAGTTTGACGTGTTTGTGAGCACATCTGTGCATGTGTTAGTCATGCTGGTTCAACGCCTACGCAGATATAACACAAGACATTGTGTTTGTGTTTAGTCCTGCAGTGTTTTCTTCCATTAATTCCGATGGCAAATTCATCATGACATTGTACACATCCAGACAAGTAAACTCCATGCAGTCCTTTCCTTTTTTATAATATAGGAGCCCCGTATTGCAAGGGTTTATTAGACTCTCAGCTTTTAACAAGTGTGGGAAAGGTGGTAATTACAACGCAGTGGTATTTGTTGTATGTGTCTCTTACTTTGTTTGAATCCTGTATTTAATGCTGTGCTGCACACAATGCAGTCACTGTTATTTGAAGAAATGGATTGGGAAGATTATGAAACATATTTGGCGGCATTTGTCCTCAAGTAGTCCTACTCAGCTTAACATTTGTAGGAGCAAACAACATGCCTTTTTCTTCTCTATATTAGGTTATGTGCTTCGTCTGTGAAATCTAGTTTTTCTGCTTGACACTCTCCACCTGTGCTTGTGTTTGGGGTGAGATACTGCTTATGTTGAAAATCAAGTTATGAGAAATTTAGGTTACTGTGAAAGCGCTCTAATTGGAACTGTAACAAACGACCAGCATGGTTGTGACCGAATCCTTTTAACACATGGCATTGAAGCAGAACAATTAGCCTAGTTATTCTGAGGCAAAAACCTTCATGTTGGCTAACTAATTTCCCTAAGCTATCACTACAAAGTGTATAATTTTACCCTTTTATCTTCTTCTTGTGATTAGGACCCAGCATACACAGGTAAAGAATCACTCTATTTCCTGATACTTATCCATTATTGTCATATAAATAACGGCACATGGCCATAAATTTTTTATTAAGACAAATAAAGTGCATTTTTTTATTGATCGACATGTAAAAAAAAAAAATACCCTTTTGACGCTTTTAAAAAAATTACTCATAAAAGGCAACAAAACACCCTACCCCTTATAGCTAGTGTAACCTACTTTGGCTAAATGGGGAGATGCTGCTTATAACTATCTACCTTTTGTTTTACTTTTTTAAGTCTGTGCCACAAATCTTCACTTTTTGTTTTAAATGAAGTGGTTTTATTGCATAAACATGATATGATAAACGACTTACAGTGTTCTTATAAGATCAATATTTGGGGTTTTAGTTACTTCGGGAATTTTAGATTTTATTATTTTTTATTATTATTTGATTTTCAATTCTTATCCAGTCCACAATTAATTTACAGGTATGTTTAAGATCACGTTGCAAAGTCTAGTTCTAGCTGAGCTTATTTTTTTTTTTTGGTTATAGATTGGTCAAGCACCGTCTCATACATTGTGGATTTTGAAATGAGGTCCTACAGGAAAGAAGCTAATTTGTTGTTGGCGTTAGGATTTTTACACTTATTTTCCCAAAGATAAAACCTTAATGACGAAACAACTTTGGGGATAAAGTTTGTTTCTGTGTGGACAGGACCTCATAAGAGTAGAAAGCCTCCTTCACAAAGTTGAGTAGTAATTTCCTGCAACAGAAGTGATTTAAATTAACATCTGAGTAAGTAAATTTTATTAATATAGTGCATTTTTCTTAAATTTCGCAGGTGAGATACTTAACCAATGGAATAAGACAACTGCAGTTTCTTATTTCAAGTGCATAATATCTAATTATCTTATTTTAAGGGTAAAAATACTGTTTTTTTGGCAGATCATCTTAATAACTAACTCAAAAGTAAATACACTTTTTAAACGAAATATTTATGCATTCTGAAGTGTACTAACTTTAATTTCTTAGTATTGTAAGATATAATATATCTATCCATTCAAATATGTCAATAAAACCAAGGCTGTGTCTTTTTATACAGTCTTGCAATGTTTACTGTAATCACACAGTGATTTTCTCCATTTAGGTTAAGCCTGTAGATGATGCTCTACTGTTATTGTCTCTTGTTTCAAGACTTCTGTTTTCTATGAAAAGCCCTGACGCTCATTCATCATATTGAATATTCAATAGTACTACTGCCCCCACCCTACACACAAGCTCACAACCAATTAGAGATGCAACCCTCCCACCTCTTCATAACCCCCCTCCCCTTCTTTCAGCACATGACGAACAAACAGGGTTCTGTCTTTTGTTCGTCTTTATGGTGAAAGAAACAAAGCTATTTTCTCAGCCCCCAGCAGAATACAGCTTGACCCCGTAGGCAGAGACTGTTATATAATATGGAACAGTTCTTACTCCTTGTGTAATGTTTTCTTTTCAGCCCTTTGTAAAATGATGGATTTACTTTTTGCTATTGAGTCGAATGGATGAAAATAACCATGTTTAAGAAAATCTTTGTATTTTCTCACTTGGCCAGTAGAAGCTGAGCTGAAAGAAAAATCTTACACCTATTGGATTTTGTGGAGTAAAACATGTTTCAGTTGTTCAGATATTTGATTTAACTCCCCATCATGTCAAACTCTGCCCAGCTGCTAAAACATTGGATTTTCTGAACTTTTGACAGGGACCAATGTTTACACGTCTCTTGGAACACAACAAATGCTATATCTGCTGGACACTGGAGTGTATTTGGGTCATAGTTGACCTCGTTCTCTGTAAATACATGTTCGTGAGCTGCTTCGTTGGCCGTAAATCACAACATCCTCACTGACCCACTAAGAAGTGCCCACTCTGAGCTAGCGGCCGCTGTGGTTGTCTGCCTACCAGGGGCCACCGACCAACAGAGGAGAGTCAGGGCTTCTAATTGAAACTGTGGAGTTTATCTCTAACATCCGTTTAGTTGTGCCGAGTGTGGCCAACAGATTAAAGCACTGGCATTAATGCCGATTTGCTCCTCTATCACACATTTGATTTGCCGTTGTCGGAGCGTGTTCTTTTCCTCTTATCCGATGCAGAGAATCCAATGTAGGATCCGGATGTATTGAGCACGCTTCTCCCTGCTTGATTGTGCTTCCAACCTTTGAAATTGTAACCTTCACTTCTTGCTGTCTGCTTCTTGTGTTTTTATATCGGTCAATCATCTTGTGTCTTTCTGCAATGGCAATCAACTCTTGCTTTATTGCCCTTTTCATTATTGTTTTCTGTGCCTGTAGACACTCTGTTTAGGGAAGTTTTGATGCTGCTCTCTCTTAATAGAATTAAACAGATTTTAGTGGAGGACAGGTTAAATGGGCGTTGAAGTTGCTATGTAATCACTCTCTCCATTCTGATCACAATGATCATACCCACTGAGGCTGCATCCTTTAGATTCTACTGCTGCATCATCACTACAATCCTGAGTCAGGCGGGACTGAGAGAAGCTGGTGGGAATTGACATCTGGACCTGTTTGGCATAACCTGTGCAAAGACTGATGAGATCCATGACTTTGTCAACAACCGTATTGAAAAAAAACCCCACATTTATTATTTCTCAAGGCTTCTTGGATT